GTGTTAGGCAACAGAACACTGTTAATGTGTATTTATTGGCCATCAAATTTAACTTACATCATGTACTGGCCCTCATTATCCCACAATAAACATTGTTTGATTTTGAAAAAGCATTCGGAAAAGTAATATTTTTGCGCCCTTATTAGTTTTTTCAAACTGAACTAAGACGTTTGTTAAACTTGATCAGTATACTATGAACATAGTGGCTATTATGGTTATCAACAGCTGTTATTTATGCAGTGTATTTTCAAGATAACTTCGCCATGCATGTACCTCTCCAGTAAATTCCGCAGAACAGCAAAGCTCTCTGATAGGTTCTGATTGTCTTCTGGCTTTAAAAAACATTAGTCAAAAGAGTTTGTCGGTGTGATGTTGCGAGCAAGTGAGCTGTTTTCTTTAAGAATATGTGTCCCTGCTTCGTATTCTTCATTGCCAGAGAACTAATTAGCTAACTGACTAGTTTTAGTGATATTTTCGTTTTGTTTTATGATCATTAAACTTTTTAACATAAACAAATGATTTTGTTTGGGTCTTTACAATCTGCAATGAAACAGAAAACAATGTGAAAGGTGCAATTCGGACTAGGAAATATGTCTGGTTTTCTCATACATATTTTCTTATCAAGTTCGTTAGTAAATGTTCTTAGTCTAAGTCTTAGTTCAGGTACAGAAGTGTAGTTGTTGTAATGTTTCTTTTACAGCTTGTCTCACTTCTGTGATCTTCCAGCAGTACAGAAACGGGTTTAACGACGAGTTTAAATACACTAAAGTAAGTGTAAATCCCCTGGCAAGGGGGTAAGTAGATAACGGCATCCCCCTTTGAGGTGTTAAAGCTTTAGCTATAACGTAAGGCAGATAACAAATAACCAATGTTACCTGCACCCACAGTGCACTGTATACTGCCTTTCTGTATCGAGCTATATTCAGTGTATTTACTTGGCTCGATTGTCCTTGGTCAACATGGTTCTGAACATGAATTTGGTTATGACGCAGAGACATGAAGATTTTTGTGTTGGTACAGATTGTAGTGACTAAACAAAAAGCTGTAACAATATATACGAACAATGAAACTTTAAGACGATTCAGAAAGGATGCAGATGCACCGACAACGGACACAATCCAACCACCAATAGCAATAAAACGTGTTCTTTTCAAAGTTACGACTTGTCTGTATCTGAGACCCAGTAGCAAAGCGAGAAGTCTGTCCACGCTTATTGCAGTCAGTGTTATCAATGACACTGAACACAAAGTAACACCTGCGAAATATGCTGTCAAATATGCGTAATAGCAAATAACCCGTCTTCTGTTCACCACAGAGATCATATAAGCAACGCGTAGAGGCTCCGCAATGATACCAACGCAAAGATCGGTTATCGCTAGGTTACGATACAGGAGTTTGGATGACGGATGAATTGATGTGTCCTTGCGAAAGGCAAAGAGGATCAGAGTATTCCCCAAAAATGCTGTAATTGACAAAAAAATGTCGATGACAGAGAGAAAAACGAGCTCGCCATGTACCTCTCCAGTAAATTCCACAGAGCAGTAACGTCCTGCAACTGTTTGCGGGTTTTCACCTCCAGTAAAATTTTTCATTTCCATGACTTTTCTGCGATGCGGCTACAGTCAACTGAACTCTTTTTTAATATATCTGTCTTCCTTATATGACTGCTACATGCACCTTGTCAGCATGTCTTACTTCTATTATCTTCAGCAGAAAAGCAGTTTTAATAAATTAAAGTAATAATTATTCCAAAATTCAAGGCCTAGTGAGGAAGGAACTTTGAGAAGTTAAAGTCCGTTCTGTACTAGGAAGCCAATTTGAAAAAGTCTCTGAATATGCGATTGCGAGCGGCTGGTAAAGAGGCAGACGGAGAGTGATTAAAACGTTTGTAAATAGACACAAAGTAGGCACGGAGGTATAGAGGTTCCCCAATGGGTTTTTCGGGATCCGTGCGGTTTCGTTGCGTTGCGTTACGTTATTCTAAAATTTCTGAGAGTGAATCTATTTCTGTAGGGGCATGAACTTGCTAATTCGTTTCTTTTGTTCAGAGTACGTTGGTGTTTTTCACAAATGATAAAAATTTTTTTTTCGAGGCACAGATTACATTTTTTGCTAGCCTTGTCATATGGTTTACAATTCCTGAGTGCTTTCCCCTGCACGTGAAAGGATCTGTAGGCATCTTTGAGAGTCCACATTCGCTTGGACAGTTCCGTCTCGTTTCTTCTGTTCGCGTGACGGAAGGATGTCAAGTGATTTCTGTACTGTTCTTTGAAGTTAGTGGCTACTGAGTCCAATGTATGATTCTGTTGTTGTTCGAGTCGTTCCAGTCGCTCGGTAAATCACGTTTCGTCTCAGGCAATTACCGTCAAGAAACGGGAATGTCCTCTTGAAGGAAATTGCCTGCAACCGACTATTAAACTTCAAAGAACGGTGAAGAAATCACTTGACATCATTAAAATTGTGACTCGTTGAAATACTTCTAGGGACCACTACTGACTTACTGTCCGGTGTCAGATAAAGGCTTTTAATCGGCCTTTTAATGATTTTTCATTGTTCTAAATTGCCAAGTAGTAGAGTGAGTTGATTTTTTTTGCTAAACCAAGTTCAAAAATCCAGGTAAAATTATATATATATATATTATATATATATATATATACTTTCCCCATATGCAGCAACTTGTACATAGCCCCTCTATCTGTTGTTCGATTAGTTTACAGCTTGTTGACTGTTGTTCTTCTTCTCTTTGTTAAAGTAAACTGAATTACGTAGGCTGGTAAAACTGGTAAGCAATCCATAATTCGAGGTAAAACTTTCACAGTTTGCCGGACCGCTACCGATGGCTAAGATTGATGCACTTACCTATAACAATTATTCAGATTAAAGTTTAATTACAAATAAACTGAAAACAACAAAAGACTACCATTTCTCCGATTTTTATTATATTATTTACCAAACAATCAGTTGGGCAAATCAACGTGTTCCTGTTTTTCTGTGTGACGCGTAATTCAAATTACCAAGCTCAGCCAAACTTTCAAATCGAAGCAGTTTTCTGGCCGCTTTTTTTTCCGAGATATGCTGTCTTCAGTTGTCATGAGGGCCCGTAAGAACGAATTTGAAAGTGAGAGGGGACAAAAGTTAGCAGTGCTGGTGGCGTACTCAACTGTTATATGAACACAAGGCCCATTTTTGTAAAAGAGGGGGTTTCGTGCCCTAGGGCCATATGGTGATGTTCCATCCTTTAAGCACTGTTTATGAGTCTTCTTTAGCTCTTGGCTGAGAAAGTACTTCGCTTTTGCTACTTATAATTCCTGCTATAATTCGACCGTGCAACAGACTTTATTTTGGATAAAATAATTTATACGATGGCAAATAACAGCAGTAGGTAATAGTTAGTCATCTGAGCAATCCCCCTAGGAGGACTGATGACAGCCCCTTCTCCTCCATTGATATCACGTTACCATGTGGGTATTCGTAGTTTGCAAGCACGTGACAAGGCGACCATGTTGGGGTCAGTAAAAAAGAATTGTTTTCTCGAAGAATTTACATGAAAATAGTGGTTACTTCCCAGAGAAGAGAAATGCTTTTCTTCTTGACGACCAAGATGGCCGCTGTGACGTCACCTGCAAACTAGAAGCATAATGGTTCACTTTTCATTATATCTAAAAACAAAAGCCTTCGTATGCTCGCAAACTTTTATTAAAATGACCCGTGTTAGGCAACAGAACACTGTTAATGTGTATTTATTGGCCATCAAATTTAACTTACATCATGTACTGGCCCTCATTATCCCACAATAAACATTGTTTGATTTTGAAAAAGCATTCGGAAAAGTAATATTTTTGCGCCCTTATTAGTTTTTTCAAACTGAACTAAGACGTTTGTTAAACTTGATCAGTATACTATGAACATAGTGGCTATTATGGTTATCAACAGCTGTTATTTATGCAGTGTATTTTCAAGATAACTTCGCCATGCATGTACCTCTCCAGTAAATTCCGCAGAACAGCAAAGCTCTCTGATAGGTTCTGATTGTCTTCTGGCTTTAAAAAACATTAGTCAAAAGAGTTTGTCGGTGTGATGTTGCGAGCAAGTGAGCTGTTTTCTTTAAGAATATGTGTCCCTGCTTCGTATTCTTCATTGCCAGAGAACTAATTAGCTAACTGACTAGTTTTAGTGATATTTTCGTTTTGTTTTATGATCATTAAACTTTTTAACATAAACAAATGATTTTGTTTGGGTCTTTACAATCTGCAATGAAACAGAAAACAATGTGAAAGGTGCAATTCGGACTAGGAAATATGTCTGGTTTTCTCATACATATTTTCTTATCAAGTTCGTTAGTAAATGTTCTTAGTCTAAGTCTTAGTTCAGGTACAGAAGTGTAGTTGTTGTAATGTTTCTTTTACAGCTTGTCTCACTTCTGTGATCTTCCAGCAGTACAGAAACGGGTTTAACGACGAGTTTAAATACACTAAAGTAAGTGTAAATCCCCTGGCAAGGGGGTAAGTAGATAACGGCATCCCCCTTTGAGGTGTTAAAGCTTTAGCTATAACGTAAGGCAGATAACAAATAACCAATGTTACCTGCACCCACAGTGCACTGTATACTGCCTTTCTGTATCGAGCTATATTCAGTGTATTTACTTGGCTCGATTGTCCTTGGTCAACATGGTTCTGAACATGAATTTGGTTATGACGCAGAGACATGAAGATTTTTGTGTTGGTACAGATTGTAGTGACTAAACAAAAAGCTGTAACAATATATACGAACAATGAAACTTTAAGACGATTCAGAAAGGATGCAGATGCACCGACAACGGACACAATCCAACCACCAATAGCAATAAAACGTGTTCTTTTCAAAGTTACGACTTGTCTGTATCTGAGACCCAGTAGCAAAGCGAGAAGTCTGTCCACGCTTATTGCAGTCAGTGTTATCAATGACACTGAACACAAAGTAACACCTGCGAAATATGCTGTCAAATATGCGTAATAGCAAATAACCCGTCTTCTGTTCACCACAGAGATCATATAAGCAACGCGTAGAGGCTCCGCAATGATACCAACGCAAAGATCGGTTATCGCTAGGTTACGATACAGGAGTTTGGATGACGGATGAATTGATGTGTCCTTGCGAAAGGCAAAGAGGATCAGAGTATTCCCCAAAAATGCTGTAATTGACAAAAAAATGTCGATGACAGAGAGAAAAACGAGCTCGCCATGTACCTCTCCAGTAAATTCCACAGAGCAGTAACGTCCTGCAACTGTTTGCGGGTTTTCACCTCCAGTAAAATTTTTCATTTCCATGACTTTTCTGCGATGCGGCTACAGTCAACTGAACTCTTTTTTAATATATCTGTCTTCCTTATATGACTGCTACATGCACCTTGTCAGCAAACAATTAAATATTTGCTCGGTATTTTCAGTTTATTAAGAGCAGTTGTCTGTAAGATTCCAGCTATATTGAAAAGTCGCTGCCACACTATCTCACCGAATTGGCTAAAAAAATTGGCAAGTAGACTTGATTTGGGGTCTTTAATAAGGAATAGGTAACTTAAGGTTCTAATTCCTCCTATTTCGGAAATTATCGACATGGCCGGTTTCAGTGTGGGTGCCTCGGACCGGCGCCATATTGGTTAATAGAAGCTGCTTTTGAGCCTTCGACTACAACCCTGTCATCAAAGCTAATCTTCCTTTGCCGATACACATTGAAAGAAAAATCCCTCTTTATTTTATTTTTAGAAACTACTTCGAAATTGATAACGTTTTCGCAACGATCGATTATACTTTTGGTGGGTATACTTTTTGAATTTTTGACACCCGCAAAAATAACAGAATTTTAAAGGCGTATATCTCTTTTGCCACATCGCATTGAAGCTTGCCACTCTGCCTGAATACTCATTGTTTGTAGTTAAATCGAGTTCATTAATAAGAAAATTGGGCAAATTTAACGGAGCAGAAACAAAATAAAAAAAAGTAATGAATGGAAGAGTGTTATAGCGATTTTGTCGACATGTCAATAATCTTTACACCGAATACTCGCCAGGTGTTGCCAAAATTACAATCGATAATAGAGTTTCTGTCCTTAAATCTGAGTGATCTGTGTAATAAAATTAGCCTCTGTAATATAATCGATAACTCTGCTGCGAAAAACAGTATAAAAAAAGGTAGATTGTGTAAGAAAAAGGAAAATGAATTTGTTATGTTTATGCTACGACGCGTAAACAAAATGCAACCATCACAGTCGAACTTGAATTTTCCTGATTTTCGATTCCTCCATTTTCTTTACGGTCAGTGTAAAACGCACTGACTGCGGACTGCAGAATGCAGACTGCGGACCAGGGGTAAAATGCAAACTGAGTGTAAAATGAAGACTGCAGATTTAGAGTAAAACGCAGGCTGGGTGCAAAATGCAGAATAAAGACTGTAGACTTTTTTTAAACATTTGTACTCCTTCTTCTCCTAATCGGTGAAATAGCTAGCCGGTATCAGTTACACACTTCGCTTCCTAGTCGAAGTGCATTGCCTATTCTCCAGAAGTTTCAATGAACATCCGAACAGCTTAAGTCTGCGTACCTTGATTTACAATACTTTCATAGAAGGTCATCCAAATTTCCTGCAGAACATCTTTCTTTGTTGTTGGAATGATTTACTCCCTTTTTTATCGCCATATTTTTTCCTGTACAGTATTTTGGGTCAGCAGCTTTCACTTAAGCGTAAACATCGTCGTGTTGTACCAGTTCACGGTCCCTGGTCCTCGGACGGAAAAAAGGTTCAAGATTGCGATTTTGTTTTCGGGTCGTCGACGACGTTAACGTTCCAGAGAAGAAAGGAATGGATTTGTGAAAGCAGATGTCGTCAAGTAAGTGTTCGTTTACATGTATTTGCGAGATTTTTTTGCCCTTAAACCCTTCCACGACTACAGTTTATGCTCGGTCTGCATTTTACCCCGGTCTTCGTTTTGCTCTTAGTCTACAGTCTGCATTTTACACACAGTCTGCATTTTACCCCTGGTCCGCAGTCTGCAGTCCGCAGTCCGCAGTCCGCAGTCCGCAGTCCGCAGTCCGCAGTCTTCCCTTTACACTGACCGGTTTCTTTATCGAAACCAGAGCTTTTAAAATTAACCATAGTAATGAAGATTGAGATGTATTACCTTACTCGACGACAAAGATGCCAGTTTCCACCTTGATCGAAAAATAGTAATATTTTGCCACGCATATCGCCGGTCGTCACGTTCCTTGCATGGCGTTACAACTCACGTGAAACCGCCTGGTTTCAAACAACTGAACTGAAGAATCCGTGAAAATCTTAGCCAGGCAATAAATAAAGGAAGTTGATATAAGTTATCATTATTAGTAAGCGAGGATGCGATGATAGTTCCAGTTACATGTATTTACAGCGTTTAAAGATTCACTCAAAACTCATGAGACATGAGCCATTGAAATAAACATAATTACTTCCGGGCGTTGGGCGCTCGGCGTTGGAAAAGTAATAATACTCATTCTACCTTGTACACCATTAACAACGGTTCCGTGCAGAATTTTCAGGTATTTTGTCTCAGTCACGAAGCCCGTTTTGAGGAGATTCTTTGTCTTTCCATAAAGGGTTTTTTGATAAACAGTAAAATTGGTTTGGAAGGGGTTAAGAAGAATGAGGGGTGAGCGCTAACCGTTGGTTAAGAGGTATCAAAATGTATAGGTTTCCATGGTATTTAACGCTGGTTAGCACTAACCGTGCTTCGAGCAACCCGGGCCAGGACTACAAAAACCACAGTCACCCCACCGAAGGGCTTTAAAACTGTGCGCAAAGGCCTCACCCTATAGGAACAATTCCAGATTTTCGTTTCCTTGAAAAAGCTTAAAATCGCCAGTCAATGCATGGACAACTCAAGACAGTCCTAATTCAAAATAAAGTAAACAGCAAAGAAAATTCAGTTAGCGACCAGAGTGTTTATCCGATATCGCGAACAATAAGGAGTGATTGAAGATGTGGCTGCAATTTAATGAAAAATTATTTACCATGCTCACGGACCTTTCGACAACATAAGTGTACCGATTGACGTAATATCGTGGTAAAAAACGAACGCTTTATTTTATATCTGCCCCGTTGCATTTGCCCAATTATTTTATTCAACGGTCTAACTTATCTATAAACAAACTACTTTTAGTTAAAATGGCTTAGTCTAAATCGATGTGGCATGGGTGATATTGACCTTCCAATTTCTACCAAATTTGTGTACCTTTTGAGTACCGAAAAAGTGCTGTGAGAAATTATAGTCGTTCGTAGCTCAGGCTTAATCATTTTCAGATAAGAGTAGGTAAATGAAAAGAGGAAGGATAGTTCTTTCCAACTGTATGAGTCACGATTAAGTTATTTTAATGATAAGGCTAGAATTAATTACTGTAAATCTCCTTCAGTTCACCAACTGTGGCGGCCCCTCTTGGCCTCGTCAAAACTGTCATTCCTGTATCTTTGAAACCAAAGAGAATTCGAACCTTAGAATATGCATTCAGTATTTAGGACACCATTCTAAGACTACATGCCGAAAATCAGCCAAATCGATGAGGTACCGTGTCAGGCCGAAGTTCGAATTTTACAGAAAATCACTCTTAAACGATGGAATTCGAAAATGAATCTTGGTGTTGCCTTTGTGTTGCCGTGCGATTAGCGAGCAAATAGCACAATTGCCTGGCTCTTAGAAAACGAGTTAAACTGTTAGTAATAAAAGTCTATTAACCAAGTCTAAAAACGGTTTTCGCCAATTGCTGAAACTGACGCGCTCATAATGTCATCGCAGGCAGTGAGGTCTTAGTAACAATGCATACATGTTCAAATAATGGGCTCGAAAGTCTGGGCCATTTACGAGGTGGGAATTAAAGAAAATAAAACGTCCGTTCGAGCTTAGGAAATTAGAATGTAACCTGTTTTTATCATATAAAAATCATGAAAAAAAGAATTGAATTCGACGATTAGCTGCGAGCAATCAGCAGTTTTAGTAAACATAGTGAGAGCAAGAACGAGAAAATTTTGCTAACGGAGGTGTTTAGTTTGTGAGCCAAACATATGATATGCGGTGCCGTAAACTGCCGCTTAAAAGCCCTGGGATTATACATGTTTGTAAGGGTTTTTAGAAGGGGTCTTGATAAATGAAACGGAGGGGCTTATATCCGAGGGGGATTATAACGGAATTGGAAAAAGCTCTTCGAAACAAGCTAACGCAGTGCTGATTTAAATGTTTTGCAGTTACTGGTAAAAGCTTCAAAATATCATAATAAATCAAATTCATTTCAATGCAAGTTAGAGGGGAGAATATATTGGCGAGCCTGTTACTGGTGGGGCTTATATTAAAGTGTTTCTGTATTTTGTAGCTTCAAATTGCTTGTGCCGTTTTTCTTCAACTTTGACTGACGTTCACATGGATACTAGCACTAAATTGGCCACATTTTCTTTAGAAGAGGAAGTCTTAACCGAGTATATCCCCAAACATGTCAAACTTTGAAGGCTATAACTTTAACATTTTGGGCGGTTTATTTGCAATTGCTTAAATTGCTATTTCACTACGTCAAAATTATATCTTCATTTAAATTGTTTTTTAAATTTATTTCCCTCGTTCACATCATCTCCCGGCGCGTCCAATTCGGATCTGTTATATGAAAGGTAAAATATTTAAAATTAAAAACGCTATGGTGACGTTCATTTGGATTGAGTATAGTGAACCCAAAATATTAACATGGAACTTGCACCATCATTCACCATCATATTTAGCTGTTCTCTTTTGTCTTAGAGAAAAATTAGGTGCCATGTACCTCTCCTCGACTCTCCAGTGAATTTTGCAGAACACGAATACAGTTCTCTAATTGTTTGGTAGTTTGTCATTACCATGACTTTTCTCCGAAGCAACTACGTTCAAGCTAGCCTTTTTTTAACATATCTGTTTTCCTTATGTGATAGCGCGAACATGTCGAAAACCAATTAGATATGTGGGTTGTATTTTTATTTTATTAGACGACAGAGTTATTGGCAATCTTGTTGCTGCCGTGCAATTGGCAAAACAAATAGCACATTGTCTGGTTTTTAGAAGACGAGCTAAACTGTCATGATCAGTGATACAAAGTTTATTAACCGATTCTTGATCGATACATCTGTAGAACAAAGATTCAAATTGATTAAAAAAGGCTTTTTATTAATGTATAATCGTCTCATCGTAGCCAGGAAGTGTTAAATTATATCTGGGTCAGTTTGTGCCATATACTTACGAGATGAGAATTAAAGAGAAAAATGCTTTACGTTCGTTTTTGCTGCTACTATCTCTCTTTTTAAATCCAGATTAAAAACATTTCTTCTTAGTTGATTAACAATTTGTGAATAATACTTGTTTTTTGCTGCTTTTTGTCTGTTTTGTTTTGCTTGCTTTTTGTTCTTCTTATATTTCAGTATGATTTTACCGTTTATTTATTCATTATGTTTAGTCTTGGTTTAGGGAGGGAGCTCATATAATAAGCCCCAAGGTTTCCATTTGAGCTTCAACGCCGGAAAGATTTTGTTTAATTCTTTTCCTTACAATTTATGTCTCTTTAATCTTTAAATAACATTTTTGTAATGTATTGAATGTCTGTATGCATATGTATTTTTTTTCTGGCAAAATAAAAATACATTGAAACTAAACAGAAACTGAAACAGTTTCAGAGCATGCTAAACCTTCTTTTTAAAGCGATGGCTTGTGCACAGCTCAACATATAAAAACCAGTTCATACTCATGCGAATGAATTCTTATTTTCAAATAATAGAAAGAGCACCAGGTCTTACACCTAATTGCAATAACATTGTTATGGAAAAAAATGCTAAAAGGAAGACAGGAAGAAGGCAAGTAGTAATTAATTAGACTTACTTGGGGTGCGTTC